CAAAGATGTCTTTACTGTCTGCATGGCTTTGCCTTTTTCAGAATATATCTGAGGCCATATGCTGTACTGACTTCGTACTGACTTCTTTCACTTAAAAATGTATTTATGGTTCATCTCTGGCCTTTCATAGCTAGTTCACTCATTCCTTTTAGGGCTAAATTACATGTCTATTTTTGGAAGTGCCATGCCTTACGCATCCACTTGCTTGCTGAGTGTCAGCTTGGCTGCCTCTGAGGTATGAGCATTTATACATAAGCTGGTATAAATATTTGTGTGTGGGCTTTGATATGCACAGAAGTTATCATAGAGATGCATTTTTTTTTTTTTTTTTTTTTTTTTTTTTTGTGAAGGCTTTTTTTCCACAGCATCTTGCTTTGAGCTAAGTTTCTTCTAAATAGAAGCAAGGCAAGTGATTGCTTTTAAATGCGGGTGTATGGCTTTTGATCCTTTCCCTCCCTATTACCTGCAGGAGAATAGGAACCCCTCCAGCCTTGACCTATATGATTTCACATGGAAGTTGTTATATGACCAAAAGAATCATTTTATTTTTTCTTTAGAAGCCTGATGAGGGTTGTATCACCTTGTTGCTTCTATCTCCTCTCATGGAACTAATTACCATTTTCAGAGAAATAAGGCTTGAATTCGTATCACAGGTGGACCGCCCTGCAGCCAGATGAGCCCAAATGCTCAGGTGGTTTGCTTAGCTGGACCAGATAAAGACACAGTAAATGTCTACACGACAGTGATTTATCATAGGAGACAAATTACTGGAATGGGCCTCGGGTGTCCTGTCACTTGGGTCTGAGAGCCCCACATTTATGTATGTGATTCAGGTGCTGGGAACGTTCACTGTTGGACTTAAAAATTGAGAGAGATTGAACCTAGTCTACCCTGTGGCATTTGCAATCCACGAGCAGATGTGTGCCTGGCAGCAAACGACTTGGGTGTTGTGTGTGTGTCAGAAATCATCTTTGCCACTTCTGTGGGGAGTTCGCTCTGTGATTCTTCCTCCTCTTTCCTGGAAATGAAGCAAGGAGATGATGTTGACCGGACATGATCTATCTCCTGGATCGGACTTATTAGTATCTTGTATTTCATTATTTCTGCTGCAAAGTATACCTGGTATCCTTGCAGAATCTCAATTGCTGTGGTCATGCTCCAGTGATTCAGTAAACCTAACCCCAAATTTGGTTTCCGTGCGGAGATCAATGATGTCACCCTCAACCCCAGAGGATATGAAAAGGTTTGCTGCTCACATAATAGAGTTGGTGGGGGGAGCTGCTTGGAAAATGGCTTGAGAGAGTGTGGGGAAAAATATTGAGTATGATACAGACAAAGAAAATATATGTGAATACTGATGATGAGCATAAAGATTATTTCCATGTTTTAGCTATTATAAATCATGCTGCTATAAACATGGATATGCATGAATCACCATGATACAGTGTGTTTAACTGTTTAGGGAAGATACCTACAAAGGAAATAGCTTGGTCAACTGGGATTTGCGGTTTTAGTTTTTTGAGGGATCGTCTTGCTCATAGTGTTGTACAACCCTTAGTGGTTATACTGGTTTCATTCCTACCAGTGGCTGCACCTTGAAACTGTAATGCTGAGTGAAATAAATCAGATGCACAAGCTTCCATGTCAGATGTTTTCCCTTACATGAGAAACCTAAAATATAAATCAAATGCAGAATTAAAGATAAGTAAGGTCATAGGAGGCTGGGAAATGGATCTTTCTCAAATGGGAAGGGGACCGAGCGTTGGAAGGAACAGGAGAGATGGGAAGGGTAGGGAGTGAAGATGTACTGCAGACATGTACCAGCGCCACACAAACACTGTAAACATTGTATCCTACAGACATGCACAAACAAGAGAGTTTGGCTTGTGCACACAGTGAAGCCTGTTCAACCACCAAACAGGATGGGCTCCCGGAATTTGAAATGGCATCTTGGAACAGGAAGATATCCTGCTAAATGCAGTGAGGCAGGCCACCTTGATCTCATTCATATACACAAGTGAGAACAGTTGATGTCCTCGGAGTTGAGAGTAGATGGGGCTTCTCTAGGCAGGGATCTGGCAGGGAAATGAGTACAAGTTCTTTAGGAGATATAAGTTACAGTTAGATTGGAGGAGTAAGCTATGCTGTGCTGCTGCAGAGAAGGGTGGGTGCAGCTATCCATCAGGTCTTGTATGTTTTTAAAAGAAAAAGCTATGCAAAAAAACTTTGAATGGCTTTACCCCAAAGAAATAACATAACTTTGAGTTTCAGTTTTTTGAAGACATTAAATCCACGGGAAGAGAAAGGAGGTAAAAATCTTGAAGATATAGCAGTAGGCATAGAGTTCTTAAACAAAAACCAAACTGCATGGGAAATGCTTCAAAGAATCAACAAGTGGGATCTCATCTTACTGAAAAGTTTTTGCACATCTGAAGAAATCACCAGCAGAGTAATAAGAAAACCCACAAACTGGGAAAAAAATCAGCTGACTGTCCCTCAGACAAAGGACTTCTACCTAGAACATATAAAGAATTTAAAAAAGGCTCCCCAAATTCGAAGACCCAATCCAAAAATTGGCATCTGAGATGAATACACACTTCTCAGATAAAGAAATACAAATGGTAATACAAATACATGAGAAATGTTCAACATCATTAGTCATTCGAGAAATAAATTAAATTAAATAAATTAAAACAACATTGAGATTCCATCTCACCCCGGTAAGAATGACTAGCATTAAGAAATCTCCATACTAATATTTGTACTGGATAGTATCCATGTTCATAGATATGTTTTCCCTGATTTGAACTTTAAACAATGTATGAAGTGAGATTAAAAATATGTACATGTTTAAACTTTAAAAATATATCATAGTAAAAGACCCATTACCTTAAACCCCTGACAAAATCCTCCTCCTTGCTTTGAAGACAGTTGTGTCACCATTCTGGCCACTTTTTGAGGCAGCTGTGAAAGTCCTTTTTCCGGATCATCTTTACAAGATGTGGTAAAAACTACACTAGATGCCACTGCCAAATACCATCTGAGGGAAAGTCAGGCTCATAAAAACATGACGTTGTGTGTTTCCTCATCCACCAATAAGGTGCAAGGAATAACGCTGCATCTGGCACTGTGTGCCTTCTGACACTTACCCAAAATCGAAGTGATCATAGAAGATCAATGTTTTGCATCCATTTAGGACGCTGAGACAGCTAGGGCGTACACCTATGGACATGTATGAAAGAGAACATCCAGAACTGCTGCACAAAGTAGCAAGAATGATGGGATAAGAGTTTTTGAATGAGGGGGTAGATTTTGAGGGGGAGTCATGACAGTGTGTCTTTTGCTCCAATCCATTTTTTTCCAAGTTCAAGTTGGACAGGTAACGTACTGTCCAACCTTGCAGTAAGGTTTCAGGGAAAAACATCTCATGCATACAGCATGAACACCCAGTCGTCACGCTCATGAACCAAAGGATCTCTAATCCATTTTTAATTTAAATATTCACCTTTTTTTTTTACCACACATCATACCTGTTTCAAAACATCACATCATACCTCATGAATATGTTTAATTATTATGTATCAGTTTGTGTAAATAAATACTGGAATCAGAACCTGCTGTGCCAATTAAAGTCCAGTTATACGTACTAGCTTACTGAATTACAAACAGGCAGCATGCAACCGTGTAGATCTGTGAGGAAATTATGTACTGTTCACCTCTAATTGGGCTATCATTGTCTTCTGTTTAAAGGGCCTTGGTAGCTTCTATCTACTCTGCTGTTTTTCTCATGAAATAAAATAATATTTTTGAGCCAAGAGTCTCATTAATTTGCCAAGGGTGACCCTAAACTTTTGATCTTCCTGCCTTAGCCTCCCGTTGTCTGAAAGTATAGGCAGGCATCGCTACAGCTGGCTTTGTATGGAAATTTTTAAGAGTATATATAGTTTTTTTTTTTTTTTAATCTGGTACCAGGAATTGAACTCATGACCTTGCACTTACCAGACAGGCGCTGTGCTGCTGAGCCCCAAGAGTATATATAGAAGTACAACACTAAAGTAATTACTCATATGCTCTTCATCTGTATTTAGCACTTGTCAACTCAGTGGCTAAACTCCTCTCATCATTTTCCACATTTGTTTTCCCTTCTCTTGCCTTAGTTCAGTAAGACATCATTTCATATCATTTTCAATTACAACATTTCACCTGTGGGTGTGAACATAGGTATCTGACAAATGTATATTTTTCTTCTTTAAGATCTTTTGTTTGATTTTCTTCTTTGCTTGTTCATTTTTTTCTTTGGCTTCACTTGCTCAGTCCTCCCACTGACCTGTTTGAGTTTGAGAGTCTGGGTTTTAACATCAGACTTAACTCTTTTTTTCTGGTTTTTCTGCTTCCTGTTTGTCTGACCTTGAACAGGTTTCTTCTCTTTTTAAAACATTATTGCTTTCATGTATGAATTGGAGCTTTGACTCTAAGGATTCTTTGAGGTCTACTCTAGAGGAAATGGAACACACCCTTTGGCATATAGAGAGTAATCACTAGGTGTCACAAAGTATCCTTGCTGTTGTTCCTGTTAGTAAGTGTTATGTGGGACTGGTGGCCAGTATTAAACTAGGGAAAGAAAGAGAGAACAAGAAAAAAGAAACTAGAGAAATATTGATATTTGTGGTGGACAGTTCTAGATTTGGGTGCCTGTTACAAATACTGAAAGATGAAATACGTCCAGAAATAGTTGTAGACATATTTGCTTATATGGTAGGTCATTTCTTTGGAACCTCAAAGGCTGGACCAACTGGAGAGAGACTTGGTGTGGCCTCTCTCTGTGACCCTTCTAAGAACCCTGGCATGGCGGGTCTTTCCCAGCTGCCTCACACCTCAGGATGCACAAGTATTGCCTCACTGCCTTGAGAAATGAACTACCCAGTTGAGGAGGGCAATCACCTCTGTTTCCTTCACGATAACCAAACTTTTCTAAAGTGATGTCTGTCTCTCTCTTCCAGGGCAGGTTCTGAATGTTCTGGATGAGTTGGGACTGGCCAACAATACCCTGGTGTACTTCACATCAGACCAGGGAGCCCATGTAGAAGAAGTGACGAGCAAAGGAGAAATGCATGGAGGGAGCAACGGAATTTATAAAGGTGAGAAGTGGTGGTGTGGACCAGGGCTGGCCTCATAGCTCAACAGCAGGCTGCTTTTCCCTTCGTTTTAGAGATTTTCCATTCTCCTTCCATTTCTCGGCAGTGTGTAAAACTTCCTTACGCTTCACGCAGTGCACACCTAGAAGACCCAAGTGAGCCTTTCCGCTCACTTTAAAAGCCTGTGTTCCTTGTCCGGACATGGAATGGTACTGCATGTCTATGAATGCAGATACCACCTCATGTTATACATCCGGTGCAAACTGGACCTGCTCTACCCCTACATTTGCATGTGCTATCCTTGCCGTGACAAGTTAACACAGATTCGCTGCCTTACAGCAGCACAGGTGGTTAAGCAATGGCTCTGGAATACACAGGTTCAAGGTGGGTATCTCCATTGGTCTAAAATCAAGATGGCAGCAGGACCCTGTCCTTTCCCCTGCCAGAGGGAAAGCTGTTTCCTGGCCTTTGCCAGTTTCTCCAGGTGGCCCTCATGTCTTGACTCACTGGGTCTGGTCCCATCCTTGAAGACCACAGTTCTGTATCTGCAAACCTCCTTCCCGTCTTAACCCCTCTTAACCTCTGGTTCGGTGCCCTGGTCTCCTTCACTTTCTGTGACCCGCCTGTCTCCCTCTTATAAGGAACCTTGTGGTTACATTGGTCTCAAACAGGTAACCCAGAATCATCCCCCCATCTCAGGCTCCAGTAATTTTCTTTTTCAATTTATTTTCATTAGTATATGTTCGCCGTGCATACTGATCTCACCGTAGGGAATTTGCGTTTGTACATAGTAGACCCTAGTTCTTCTTTTCTCATTTTCCTCCCTTCCCTTCAACCCCTCTTACCTCTGCATTTATAAAAACTTTGTTTCCATTTTCCCCTTACATTCTCTTTTTTGAAATCCCATTTCCCTTTGTTTCCTTCCCTCTGCCCCTTCCCTTGTCCCCCGTCCCATTTGAGTATGTTTTTTCTACTTCCCAGCTCCTGTGGGTTTCCAACACAAAAGAAACAATGCAGAATTTGAACATGCGGGTCTGACTTATTTCTGCTAAAGTTATGGTCTCCAAATACATCTGCTTACCTAAAAATATCTTGTATTTAGTCTTCTTTACAGGACAGCAGTACTACGTCATATATAAATACCACATTTTTTTAATCCAGTCCTCCATTGATGGGCATATAGGCTGTTTCCAAGATTTAATGATTGTGAATTGTGGTGCCATACACATGGGTATGCATATACCACTATGACATGATGATTTTAATTCTTTTGGGAAGGTACCTAAATAGGGAATATCAGGGTCAAATAGAAATTCTAGTTTTAGTTTTTTGAGAAATCTCCATACAGCCTACCTGAACCCACAGCAATGTCTGCAGCCAATGATTTGCTCTTTCCAAGCACTGCCTAAGCCATTTCCACCATGGACCAGGTGTCCTGCTAGCCTTTGGAGAAGGAGCTGCCACTTAGCTTGTACTTTGTACAGTGTGTGCTCTGTGAATTTAGGATACAGGTATCTAATTTCAGTACAGGTGGCTCATTTCACAAAGACTCAGATGAGATGACAGGAGCACAAAGATTTGGGTTCCCCCAACCAAACCTGCAGTGCAGGTGCCTGAACACGTAAGAAAGGATGATGCTTTAGCCAGTGAGACAGGATGAATGGACATGGCCCGCCACAGGTGTGAGACACGTATTGCATACCACAGAGCCTGCCTGAATAAGCCACAATGTACACAAAGTAGAAAAGCATGTGACTGTTGACTTTTGCAGGCACAAAGCAAGAAAGTACAGGCAACCCTTTCATCTCTCCATCATACTGATGTTTCCCAGTCTCCTGGTGACTCAGAGCTTACACCTCACGTTAGGCACAGATGATATCTGGGCTGCTTTCTTCCATCAGGTGGTGTGGAAATATTGACTGAACATCTATAGTTTACAGGGGGGAAAAGGAAGAGCAATTATAAGATGTGCTTCCTTCCCAGAAGGAAACCTTGGTTAACCAGTGGGTGATTCAGTGGTTATTCAGGAGGATGAGTTTGGGCAGGAGACCTACAGGGAGCCCTTTAATAAGAGCATCAATGTCTGTGAGCACAAGATGTGAATGATTCACACATGAAGGAGAGCCTCACTTGACCAGCGGGGTCCAAGAAAAGTTCCAAAGAGAGCAGGGCTTGGGAGGAAGTAGCCATTCACTGTGGGCATAACCTTTTCCTCCCTCCCTGCCCCCTTTGTCTCTCTGTCTGTCTCTCTCTGTCTCTGTCTCTCTCTCTGTCTCTGTCTCTCTCCCTCTGCCTTCTTTATCAGTTCTCTTCCGTAGTAGCTCTTGGCATAAGGAGAAGCGGCATTTAGCTAGTTCTGTAGTCTCCCCGGAGTTTAGGAAAGCTCGTTGTAGTGTCTGACGCAGAGGTAGAATCCACTGCAGTCTGTCTTATTGATGGTCCATGAAACCTTACACTTACATTCGTGTCTCTTGTGTGCACTCTGGAGTCCAGGATATCTAAGCATCCTTACCCTGCCAGGGACCGTTTCGTAGACCTTCAGTAGCCTGGTACCTAGCACAGAAGCATTCCCTTTCCTTAGAGTCTTGTTGTTAGAATACAGGGCACATGATCATAGCCTGCATGGGTTAAATGACCTTACAAGTGTGTTTCATCAGAACAGTATCAACCCCATTGGGCCATCGCTCTTTGTGTGCTCCTATATTTACCATCTTATTTTACAATCGTAATGCGTAAACACTTGCTTTCCTATATAACATGAGTCTTATTTCCATAAGGCCTGTGTGGACAGAGCTAGCTTGGCTTTATTTTGTAGGTTACAGCACCTCTAAAAGTTGGAGTTACGGACTGCATTTCATGCCCGGATTCACGCACTCATTCATTCTCTGGCCGAATGCCTGTTAGAGTCTGAAATAGCTTAGCGGCGGGAGGAGACATGTACATAAATCACTGTGATAGGCATAGTTAGAAAGTAATGCATTACTTAGGAAAGTTCCATACACATTGCCGTGAGGGTTCAGGGCAGGGAGAGGTGACGGTGGCTGATGAGTCCAAGAAAGGCTCCAAGAAAAGTGGGGAGGAGACAGCATTGCCATTTTCTGTGACAGTGAAGACAAAAATGGCATGGGTCAGGAAGGGAGTGTCACAGGTCTTGAATGATGGCTGGCTTCGGTTGCTACCGTGCAATCCTAAAAGCATATCAATTGCCATTCTGCATAAATTCTTTATTTAGAAATGCACTGGAGGTGTTAGAAATGTTATTTTGTGTGTTTGTTTGTTTGGTTTGTTTCTCGCTGGTGTGCCAGGAATGGCATCAACCTGTGACCCTGCGTCCACATCCGAGGTGCTGCTCTACTTAGAAGCGTTATTCTTTTGTCTCACTTCATTGAAATCGAGCTGGTGACTGAACATTGTTGAAAGACACAGCCCTCAAAGAGAGATGCAGTTCCCTTGCAGCGCCGGGAAGGGACCGCAGACTTGGAAAAGTCAACGTGTCGCGTCTCGTTTTGTAAAGCTGCAAACTGGAGCGCGGGAGGGGGAGTTTAAGTAGACACAAAGGAATTGTGCCATCTAATGTCCCGATCAAAAGAACATCCTTTTCGGAGCAGTAATGACTTCTTTAGTCAAAGCCCTTCACTGAAGATCTGTACTATTTAAACTCATTGATTTCCCTGTATTCCCAAATCAAATCTGTGTTGCTAATGAAATCTAGGGGCTAATTTAGTAAAATTGCCAGGATTAAGCCAACTTTCTCCTGAATTCAATGGGCTTTTCCCTTGAATACTATGTACCTTTCGTCTTTGTTATAACCTGCATTTGAGGAAGTAATAATTGAATATTGTGGAAGTAAGACAGTACTGAAAACAGTGTCTCTCTTTTTGTTTTTTCTTAAGAAATTGAGGTTACATTGTGATTATCCTGTGTAGATTTAGATGCAGCTGAATTTTGTCTTTGATAAAAGTCTTTAGCAAAAAAGGGGAATGGGGAGATTAAATTGGAGCTCAAAAGTGTATTTGGGATATAATTCGGTCAGTCCCTAGAAATCTTGGCAGTAAGTCCTTCAGGTAGTAGTTCCTGGAGTGTTTATCTCTCAGGATTTTCTAAAATAAATTTCCTTATACTGTCCACATGTTTTGAATACTTTGCCAACCCAATAAAACCAGTTTTCGAAGAACAGCCCATCTTCCCATTTAAGAGTGAAGCACTTCCTGTTTCCATTGCAGGCACTAGTTAAATTAATCCTGTTTTCATATCAGTTATTTGGAGCTTCTTCAAGAACAAGATAAGCAAATAAAGAACAACAGATATTCTGGAACTTTTTATGTCAGTCTGTGACTCCTTACAGCACTTACCAGGGAAAATTCCATAAGGGCTGTTCAGATATTGGAAAATGTCTACATTAAGGTGTTGGGACTCTAGAGTGTGAAGCATTGCTTAAAACTGATGAGGCTTAAGGTTTCTGTGCAGTCCTGAACTCTCCAGGAAATGTGGATTAGGATTCTTCCTGGTTCCCTGTCTCCTAGCCCAGTTTTGAGCCCCCTGAGATGAGGAGCCTTGACTGCCTAATTCACCATGTGACCGCTGGATCCAAAATAACCACATTGTAGGTGTTTAACACGTGGTCGCTGATGACCAGTGAGTACTTCCCCTACCTGCCGGTGTAGAAGCATTTTCCCTAAAACTTTAGATGGAACCTTAGATGACACCCCCTAAGAGTTGGTTACATAGGAAGAGGGTAACTAATCCAAAAATTCCAAAATGCCAAATACTCCAAAACCTAAGTCACTGAGCTGAGAGACACGACACCAAATGAGAAAAGTCCATACCATGAAGTTATGTTTCATGCACAATTACATATGGCAAACAAGTCCTGATAAACAGATAAGTTGTATACAGTGTTTTTAGGACATTTGTATGTGGGTAAAATACAGAGTCCATCAAAAGAATGTATACACACTCCAGCAGTTCACTGTACTAATAAATGTCCAGAAACTATGGCCACT